CTGCAGTCACGAAAGCTTTTATTTTATTATGTTTTATTTTTTTTATTTTGTTACTTCCCTTCTACGTGACTTTACCGAAAGAACCAAGAATAAAAAAACGGTGGACTTTGCCGCAATGCTCTCTCTCAGCAACGTGGTTGGTGGTCACCCATTCCGAGCGCTGTCCAGGCTCAACCTCTTGCTTAGCTTCCGACCTGTGACGAGATCGGACTCGTTGCAGGTGATTTTTTTTTGCCGTCGGCAAATTGGGTACGGTCACGCGAATCAAAGCGCAACAAGTGACAACCGCGGTGGTGATTGGCTGCTAGAGGCCACGTACGAATGAAAAATATAGCACTTTTAACGTTGACACATGCCCTGTGTCGAGACACATATACCGGGGTGAACATTCAGACAATGTTCTTGGTTCTTTCGGTAAAGTCACGTAGAAGGGAAATAATAAAATAATAAAAATAAAACATAATAAAATATTGTATTATTTCCCTTCTACGTGCCTTTACCAAAAGAACCAAGAATATTAATCCCTGCAGTCACGAAAGCTTTAAACCGAAATTCAGACAATGCATAAGAATGGGGTTTTCCCCCTTTCTGGCAAACAACACAGGTGTTAAGATGTTATAACACAAAAAGGGGAAAACCTAATCTTATATTTTGATACTGGCAAGGGAGGTTCCATAATTCAGACAATGGTTCGAAGGGTGAATCAATGCCAAGCAAGATCAGACTATTATACAATCACCCTTTTTACCATGAAGTTGGGTCACGTGAATATAAATGTGTTATTAATTCGCCACACCCGACGCAACCAATTCGCAAGGGTCGCCGCGTGAACAAAACGCGCCAATTAGTTACTACTTGAGCACACCGGTGTGTTGGAGAGTAAACCCACAACATTTGAGTTCGACGTTTCGCTGGCGGCTACAATAACCAGCTTCGTCAGGCGATTTGACGGAATTGGGTTAACCGACACGTTTATATTTACGCGATCTAACCCCCCAAAAAACCTCTTTGTAAGGATTATATTGGTCACGAACGCCTACGGGTGAACTGGACCCCTTTAAACACGTATTAATTTACCACAAACCTTACCTTGTTTACATTTGCCCACCGTCCGTCACTCGTTCTTGATTCAACAGACTCAACAGGACGCGATCGCTCGGCTGGACAGATTTATTTAAATGCTTCTATTTTTTTTTCGTTGCCGCTCAAATATTGACAGGAACTCGATGGCAGTCCGAGCGCTGAGCAAATAAGCCACGTGCGTGCGCAGCTAAAAAGTCCGAAACATTTATTTAACCGAACTCTCACAATGGATCCAGTCCATCACGAACGTGCCCACGCTGAGCATACACAGAGTGAGCTCTTTGAAATAAGAACAACAACAGCAACAACAACCCCGTTTTAAATGTTGCAAAAACTGGCTCAGACTCAACGATGGCTCCGCGAACAGGTACACTGGGCGCCACGGTGGTGAGATGTTAACTACCTCGCCTGGTATACAGAAGGGTCGTGGGTTTGATCACGACCCAGGCGCCTATTTGGCTGCTATAAACTCCCACGCGATAAGCCACTTCGTTGAGCTATCATTTGTTGGCCAGGTCGCTTCTGGCAAAAAGATATATATATATAAATCAGTGTGCCTTGCCTGTTAAAACAATTTAAAATAGTAAATACCTAAAATTAATCTTGATTTGAAGCTTTCGTGACTGCAAGAATCCATACTCTTTGGTTCTTTCGGTAAAGTCACGTAGATTTTTCTTTCTTTGGTTGTCCCACTGATGACGATTGCTTGTGTTGCGATCGAAACGTCGTGCAGATCGATTATTTTTCTACATACGTGACTTGACCGAAAATCAGTTTATCTGCAATCTCGGTCGTTAGTCTTAACCATCTGCCACCGTCCCTTCTTGTGATGTGGCCTGACCAAGCCCGCCAGCTATATCGCTCAATGAGCTTTACCTGGTCAAATAAAAAAAAATGAATATCTTCATGTTTTAGTCCGCCAGTCACTGGTTCAATGGTGGTGGTGGGCATGTGATGTTCTTGGGAGTCCGATGTCATTCTGTCCACGTTTGGCCAGAAAAGAGGAACGCGACGCGAGGTGTCAAACTCCACGAGCATTCGTCCGCCTGCTGCCGCCTTCATTTCGCTCCACCTGGCCGCAATGTCACGACAAGCCCCGTCATTCACAGTCAGTGGCCGCTGATTGATTCAAGTAGCTGCATCCGTGTGTAGACGACACGCCCCATTCAGACGTGAGGCTTTTGAATACAATGTGGCTGTCCTATACGTGGCAATGTCTGGGCGCGATTGGCATTAGCAGCGGAGCAAGGAATTAAATGCGCCCCCACCACCAGCCCCCCCCACCCTTCCCGCCACGGGGCACCCGGCGCAGTTGCACCGCCTGCACACCAACAGTGGCGATATATATTCTTGGTTCTTTCGGTAAAGTCACGTAGAAGGGAAGTAATAAAATAATAAAAATAAAACATAATAAAATAATTTTCACGACGTTTCGGCCACAACGCAAGCAGCCGTCCTCAAGTGAAGACCAGGTCTGTCGGGGAGACAGCATCTGAATGAAACACCACCCCTCCAACCCAGCTTAAATATACGCTCCAAGCGTGGTGGTGTTTCATTCAGACGCTGTCTCCCCGACAGACCTGGTCTTCACCTGAGGACGGCTGCTTGCGTTGTGGCCGAAACGTCGTGAGAATTATTTTATTATTTATTATTTTTATTATTTTATTAGTTCCCTTCTATACGTGACTTTACCGAAAGAACCAAGAAGATGAATCCCTGCAGTCACGAAAGCTTTAAATCGAAATTTAGTAGCGATATAATTTCCTTGAGGGTAATACGGATACAGAGAGCAGTGCGCACGCAAGACTTGTACAATGGACGTTACGCAGTGCTCGAGTGTGTAGACGCGGAGTGGGTGTGCAACCTGAAGTAATTATAAACAAATAAAACTTGACGATTTTTAATTAATTAACTTTCAACGTTGCGACGTTACAGTGTTACCATGAATACGTTGGCTCCCAAAAGGCACCGCGTGACATTTTGTTGGATATTTATTTAATTACTTAAGCGGATTAAAAATCGTGGTTTGAAATCCCATTCACCCATCAAGGGGCTGCTCAATTGGCATTTGCACAGGACTGTATGATATCACGTTCTGTAGATACTTACCCTGTATACATAATGGACAAATCACGTCCTAGAGTGAGCCCGATCACATCAGATTGTGCAAACTCGGCAGGCTACGAACCGGCATCGTGAGGTCACGGATGCACGACGGACCACGGTGCATAACAGTTGCTATAGGCTACGCGAGGGTTACTCGGTAGGCAGCAAATGGAGGTGCAAAAAAATAATATAATAATGTACACCTCTAAAGCGTATTTCGGCCGGAGATCACAAGACGCTCTATAAACAAAGACAAAGATCCCCCGTGTAGCCTGGACAGGCCGTTGGGGCAAGTGCTGTTAGCGAGCAACTGTGAAAGCCGGCACGGCACATGAAGGGGTGGGTGACCAGCAGAGGTGGGACAAAGTCATTGTTATGCAAGTCCAAGTCGAGTCTGAAGTCATCAAATTCATGACTCGAGTCTGACTCGAGTCCAAGTCACATGACTCGAGTCCACACCTCAGAGGTGGGACAAAGTCATTGTTATGCAAGTCCAAGTCGAGTCTGAAGTCATCAAATTCATGACTCGAGTCTGACTCGAGTCCAAGTCACATGACTCGAGTCCACACCTCTGGTGACCAGCACCACGCCCGACCGCCTTTGTCTCCCAAGTGGTGATGTTTACACACCGCACCAGGTACTCATTTGAACTCGGGTCGCCGGGTTCATAGCGCAGCGCGTTAAACGCCCCACTGCCGCTGTATAACACACACACACAGCACACGTGTGCAGGCTGATTGTTGTACCGTACTAACTTATATACGGCTCTCCTACTTCACCAACACCCGCGTGGTAAAGTATGGTCAAACAGTGCAAACGCCGAGCGGGAACAGAGTACCATTGAATGGCAATTGCCTCTTGTGCATCACAGCTCTGCACTTATAGACGCATTACAGATTGTGCAGTTGCAATTATTCGATAAATACTGAATAAATAGGAAATGTTAAGTCGAGTGAAGTGCAGTTTAATCGCGACTATGGGGCAATATTTACGTCTTTGTACATTCGAACTCGGTGCGTGAACGTGCAGGCGTGAACGTGCACGCGTGAACGTACACACAACTCTACTGTCACCGATGTTGGTGGCCGCCGCGTGCGGGGATCGAACTCCGAAGTCTAACGCCGGGGGCACGTCCGTAGCGCTAACCACTGCGCCACCGCTCCCCACTCACTCACTCACAAAGACGGAGATTCTCCGCGTAGCCTCAATAGGCTGTTGGGGCAAGCGATGCTAGCGTGAGGCACCGATGAAGGTCAGTACGGCACACGAGGTGGGCAGGTAGCCAGCACCACGCCCGGCCACCTTTGTTTCCCGAGAACGCAATGGTTGTGTACACACTGCACGAGCTACTCATTTGAGGCCGAGTCGCCCTCGGGGAGTCCCAGGACCGGCCAGTTCAGATAATCGTCACCCGGCGTTGTGGCCGCGAGCGGGAATCGAACTCCGGGGTCGCCGGGGTTCGTGAGCACAGCGCGCTAACCACTGCGCCACCACTCCCTACACACACACACGTACGCACGCGCGCACACATGACAACACGCGGCACCTGCTGGAACCGTGTCGTCATTGACCACGTAGGAGAAAGAGAGATAATCTGCTTCCTCCACTTCCGACTCGAGCGAACCGAGCACACCTGGGGCAGGCAGAGGAGGCAGGTTCGTGGTGCGCACGCGACCAGGTGTGAGTGAGCCCCCCCCCCCTCGCCCCCCTTGCCCCCCCCCCCTCGCTAAGGTGTATTCAAAATCCGTTTCCACAGGTGAGGCGACAATTGCGAGTTACCGAAACTGCACCGAACCGTACGTACGTTTACATCCGCAGTGAAGTAGAGGAGCCTATAACGTGATCGCATCGCTTGCCCTCTTGCTTGCCATCGGAGGCCGCAGCGCCGTCTCTCGTCTCTCATAAGCCGGCGGGTGGAAATTCCACGTTCCTATGACGGGTACGTTGCGCGTCGAGTTTCTCCATCGAGACGACAACTTGTTGACTTCCCCAAACGTATCGGGGGTGCGGGGTCGGTGGGGGAAGAGGGGGGGTTGCTGCCGTCATCCAGCAGTGGATTTGACCTTCGGCTGGTGGTGGTGGTGGTGATAACGATGGTGATGATGAGTTACCAAAAAATATATACACGAACGAGCGGTGCGATGGAAGTTGATGACGTCCATAATACTGTGGTGGTTGGCTGTCTACAGCGTCACAGCCTCTGTACGAACGTGGTAGTTTGGTGACTGTGTCCTCATCCTCACCTTACTGGGGTAGAGCCCTCGCCGCCCCCCACAATCCACCCCCCCCCCCGCGATCCGTAAATCCACTCAGCACACCCGCAAACACACCCCATTAATTTGGCACAATTATACGACCCGTGTCACAGGTCAGCTGGCCACTGATGAATCTGTCGTCTCAATGATATTGTTTTTGTATGGGACCGTATACGTTGAAGTAGACGCAAGCGACCGGGAATGTTTTGCGTTCCTGCAAACGGAGAAATTGCGGCACCACTACACGGACGAAACTCCCTGCTGGAGCCTTCTCCGTCGTGGCCTTTAGCAGACCTGGACGTTGGTATCGAACACAATATCGCTACCATCGTAGCAAGACTGGTATAGCATGCGTACAGGCATGAATAACGCGATGTCAAATGAAACTTATTATTCTTACAGTATTGTCGCCTGGTTCACCCAGAGTTCAAAAGATGTGTATCGAGGTGAAGGGTGCAGCCCTGCAATTCCCTGCTCATCCCACTGCTGACGGAAGGGCCTCCGCTCTCGAGAGAATCTCTCTTAGAGAGAGCCCCCCCCCCCTCTCCCCGACTCGCTATCTGGTACTTTGGCCTACTCTTCCACGCTGACCAGACGTCTCGCAAGGAAAGAGGTGTGACGCCCCACACGTTACCCCGCCACACGCGGGCACGAGCAGCCGATCAACCTTTTCGACCGCTGGGCGGACAGAGGTGGGGGTTGTCACGGTGGCGAGATGTTGACTATCTCGCCTGCTATACAAGAGGCCGTGGGTTTGATCCTGACGCTGACGCCTGATGTATATTTGGAGTTTTTGGCATGTCTGTCTCCCCGTGGTCGCGTGGATTTTTCTCTTCCGGGACCTCCGTTTGTTCCCTCCACATTTCGAGTATTTGTTCGCTGTAAATGACTTACGTGATAAGCCACTTCGTTGACATGACATTATTTATGGCCCATGCCCCTTCTGAAAAAGAGCTGTATATACACTCACAGGGTGCTTCAAAAAATGTTGACACTTACATGGAACTATCGTTTTAAATGGAAAAAGAGCGGATAATGCACTGTAACATGATAACGAATGTAATGTTAATATCTTCAAAAAATCCCAAGAGTCTCCACTTGTTCGCCATCGTTGTCAACGCGTGCCTAGAATCTTCTCCAGGTGGTCTCTCCAGAGCCCGAAGGCACATTGCTTGTGGTTATTGTTACAAATTATCAGAAGTGTTTAAAAAAATGTAAGCACCCTGTGTGTTTCTATATATAGCTCAGTTGGCCTTACCTGGTGAAATACAAAAATGTAATTAATAGTTTTTTTAATGGAGACCACGTGTTCAAAGACGTTGTTCATCCTTTCCCTACTGCCACGTCGGCCGCCTCTGGCAATGTGACATGTACCAGCGTGCTCGCCAACGTCACCCCTGGGGCAGCGTCCTTCGTCTCGTGCAGTGCGCACAGCGACCCGACAGAGTCAGAGGTGGAAGCAATGATATAACAGAGGGTTACGTTCCTGACCAAGTGTCCGACATGCAACTTTGTATAAGTATGAATACAAATAAAATATCGATTAGAAGCTTTCGTGACTGCAGGGATTCAACTTCTTGGTTCTTTCGGTAAATTCACGTAGAAGGGAAATAATAAAATAATAAAAATAAAACATAATAAAATACAATTGAATTGAACCAAGAAGACAAATAAAATATTTAATCAAGGCCCAATCATACAGTGCAAACAATAGCCTGTAGAAAGTTCTTAACTTGATTCTTCGTAATTCCTGACTTATTTGGACTGAACATTTTGCAATTAAAGAGGTGGGGGGGGGGGGGGCAGGGAATTACAGGGACCAGGCGCCTGAGTTGGCATCGTGTTGTAAGTGCGTGCCCTGTCCTGGGAAAACGGGGACAGGTGGGAACCCCAGCCCCTTACCCCCATTTCCGTCAATTCCACACGGCGAGCGAGTTAAAAAGGGAACGTATGACGACCAATCAGTCAAGCGAAAAATGTTGCGGAACGTGATGATGACACAACGCCGCCAAGCAAAAAAAATGTTGTCGAGCAGATCGCTGCTTGAGATTTCAATTTTTGTCTCGACCGTGAGCAGCAATCGGTTGCGCAACTGCTCCCTGCAACCGGTTGCAGAGACTTTCAACCGTGTTGCGCAACTGATGGCTCAGATTTATGCACCAATGCAGTCCAATGCTTGTGGTGATCTGGATCATTATTTTTGTTCAGCAAAGGCCTCGCACGGTGCAATATTTTATGGAGAGAGTAATTACAGTAAAACCTTGGATTGCGAGCATAATTCGTTCCGGAAATGTGTTTGTAATCCAAAGCACTCGTATATCAAAGCACTCGTATATCAGATGTGATCACGTGACGCTCGGCAGACAAAGCGTATACACGTACTACTCGTATTGCAAGACCTCGCTCGTTTATCAAATTCATATTTATTTTAAAAAAATGCTCGTCTTGCAAAACACTCGCAGATCAAGTTACTCATAATCAAAGGTTTTACTGTATTTCCTCGTCTGGCCCCTCCACCCCTTCCCGTCCCTCCCCTACCCTTTCCGTGACCCCTAAGTACCCTCTATCGCTGTCACTCATTCCTGAACCCTTGCACGCCCCGACCATCTGAATCATTATATTATGTTTCCGTGATTTAAACTATGTCAAGCGCCTTAAGTGAAGGCACTCGGGCTCCATGAAGCCGCGAAACGTTGCGCTCGAAGACCAGTCCAGTAATTAAGGCGTTCAACCACACGCTTTTTTGCACATTGCCTACGGTGAGGCGTGATAAACTAAAGTGGGAATTAACGTGTTCACGAGGCGAGCCCATTGACCACATCGCAAGCACTGCACTGCTGCCGCTGCAGGCTTCACCCCTTTAAAGGATGAATGAGCGGGAGATCCACGCTGCTTCTGAACAAACAGTTGAGTGCATAGCGAATCGAACATTGTATCTTTAATCTGCTGTTATTAAACCAATACTAAAAAAAAAGACCGTCTCTTTTGCAAGGGTCAAGGGTTCATCGTTTATTCACAATACAGCTGCTACAGTCTCTGAGTTTGTTTTGTACACTTGGTCAAGGAAGCTATTCCGGTCCTGCAAAAGCGGAATTTGGGTTAGCGTGATGAACAGGTTTTTTTTATTCTACAAGAAGAGCAGTGGGTTGACGAAACATCTCAAGATCAAATCTGCATATGTTCCGAACCCTGCTCCCTTCCCCCCCATCATGACGGTATATTAGTCCTCTGCCAAAGCCGAATGAAGGAATTATTTCACCGGAAGCATCGGACGACATTGGCGCATTGAGCCCTGGTCCACGCAGTGCAGCTGATTTCACGTTCACTATGAGACCTCCTTTACCAGTGGAAAAATATAGTAATAGGTTTTACCCTTTCAACTGGTACAAAAACTGACACCTTTATAGTGCGCTGTCTTTGAGTTGTACGCCTTTTGGCGTCATCTGGTCCAACACCAATGGAGACTAGGCTCTAAGAAAAGCTGTCTTGGGTGTGGACCAATCAACTTCAAGGACAGTGCATATCATTATCATCATCAGAGTTGTTTCTTTTTGTTTGCATTTTGACTGCTTGTGTTGTGGTTATTGCAAACATGATGCCTTGTGTAAAGGTGTCAGTTTTTGTACCAGTTGAAAGGGTAAAAACCTATTACTATGATTTCACGTTGTTTAACCAGGTGGGAACTCAAGAGGCCTGGACGAACCGCATCTGAAAGAGTCACTCGGGGTCATTTAGTCTGCCAGTCGGGGGGGGTCTGATTGCCGCTGTGTGTGTGATCCAAAATGAGTTGGGTGCGGTAGTGTAGCGGTTAGCCGCTACGCTGCACTACGAATCCGCCGAGCCCAAGTTGACTCAGCCTCAAATGAGCATGTACTGCATTGTGTAAACATCGCCACCGGGGAGACAAAGGCAGCCGGGCGTGGTGCTGGCCACCCACCCCTTCATGTGCCGTGCCAGCTTTCACAGGTGCTCGCTAACAGCACTTGCCCCAACAGTCCGCTTTGATTCCGAATGAATAATTTGTCGCGAGAAATATTTCGACGTTGGCAAGTGCTGGCCTCGGCGCCGGGCGGCACACACGGGGGTCTTCAACATCCGCCGTGAAGCAGACGGGCCGAGTGCTATTGTGACGGCCGGCGCACACAACAACGCGGCATTGACTAGGGCGGCCGCGGGATCCGAAGCTTCGAACCTCTGCGACAACGACAACAACGAGCGGCTTGCGCCAACTCGCGCGAGCGGTCGGTTGCGCGACTGGCTGGCCACGGTTGCCCGGCGGAGCTGTTAGCAAGGGACAGCGATTAGCGACGTGTGTTGACAAGAGATGGAGATGAGCAACGTGAGGCAGACAAGAGATGTGAAAGCTGTGGAAGGCGAGAGGTGCAGGTGGTTCGTGAATTGGGAGATGGAAGCAAGCCAGTACTATAGACTTATAGACCTAATGAGACAACAACACTCAACACATCCCTCAATGACACTGTCTTAAATATATATATGATAGGCGACGTTTTGGGTAATGGCGCATTAATTATTTATCTGCTATGGAGAAGGCCCATTGCCCAAAACGTCGCCGTTCATGATCCCCTTTAAGGCCACACACACACACGTAGGGTTATGTCCGAATGTCTTTGAGGTGGCGGGTTTGGTTGTTGTTCAGTGGAGCTCATGCACCACTGCCAACGCAGCAGCAGCATCACCAATCATAGAAACACAGAAACGTGGTGGAGCGGCGACTGGCTAAAAGTTTGTCTACGTTGCCGCGTGTGGTTCAATGTGATGTTTGTGATACTAAAAGAGGCGGGGGAGGCATTGCCGGATTATCCGAGTAGCAAAAGTAGCTACAAATGCTATGGACCCGCGATAAATGCTTTCAAGCTATCAATTCCGGTTCAGTGATTCTGCACTTGCTCTATTACTATAGTACTATACTGCCTTCAACTTTAATGAACGATTGGGTGTTTAAGGTTAGCGATATTATCTGGCTGTATAGCAAATTAAAAAATGCAATTACTTTACTGTGCAAGTTTATAATTAGTGTTGTAATATTTATTTATTTTTAGGGCCCGTTTATAACATATGCTACAGGCCCTGCACTAGCTTAATCCGGCACTGGGAGGGGTGGTCTTGTACAGACGTTTGTCAGCCCACGGGGGGCGGGGGGCGGAGGGAGAGGCCTTCACCCAGCAGTGAATTGACAAAGGGCTGTAAACGAAACTCATTCATTGGCCAGCCAGTCGCGCAGACATAGTCCATCCTCTGCCGGATGAAGGCCTCCCCAAAGCGTCGCCATCGCACGGTAATTAAACCAAAACTATCATTTCTTTATCGATACAGAGGTGAGTACACAGCTTATGTGCTTCGTGTACAGGCTTGCCCAAAGGACAGGATAAGTGGGGTTGTTCTATATATTTAACATATCGGGGTTATTCCCATTTATTTTCACGAACGTTCAAACGGACTTCACAATGACGCACGCGTGAATTCTCTTTTGAACTGAATTTAGGGCTTTATTGTGACATTTCTGCCGGTGTCATCTTTGAACGTTCGTCAATGATGTTTTGTCGTCTCAATCCACTCGGGGGTTCTTCTTGGTCCAGTTTTAAAAACGGCTTATTTGACGTGACCTCCACAGGAAGAAGAAGATGAAAAATAATGAAAAGAGATCAAATGTTAACTTGGAGAATAAACAATAAAAAACATTTCATGCCAGTGTTGAAATAATTTCAGTAACCCGATGTGTCCTGACTTTTGGGCCACCGTGTGTGTGTATTGCAGCTGACCCTGTGGTGACGTCCAGCAAGATCTTTGCATTGTGAGGTCCACTGTTCTCAAGTGACAAGGACAACATCGCAGACAATGAGGATTCCAGGTGAGACCATTTGACACTGAGCACTCGGCACACGTGTGATATCACAATCACTCAATAAATACAATTGGGAAGTCAAATATTGGAGGTAAATTCAAGTAAGCAACGACAATAACGATATTGACCGAAACGACATTGTGTCGTACTGTACATCGTGAAAGCGGCCATATACTTTAAACGCGTGATGTTTATTCGTAAAAACCGGAAGACCTGGAGATAAATCCACGCGACCACGGGGAGAGAGAGAACACGCATACTCCAAATGTAGAGCAGATGTCAGGGTTGAGATTAAACCCACGACCTCCTGCATACCAGGCGAGGGAATTAACATCCCCTAGCCACCGCAAGCGCCTCTGCGGTGGCGAAAAGAGGAGGCCGTTGGTCACGTTACAAAATTGGCAAATTTGAAACTTTACCTGAAATTTACTCAATTGGGTTGTGTAAACATCGCCGCTGGGGGAGATTAAGGCAGCTGCTGATGTGCTGGCCACCCCACCCCCTCGTGTGCCGTGCCGGCCTTCCGAGGTGATAGCCAAGAGCCCTTGCCCCAACAGTCCGTTCAAGGCTATACAGGGGGGCGACACCTTTGTCTTTGTGCGATGCTTTGATCCGCGCGCGCAGCGTTCGTGCAGATCGTGGGGGTCGCCCTGTTTCTCATCGTGGTGCTGTACGTGGGAAACCGCACGCTGGAGCTCAACCTGGAGAAGAAGATTAAGGACATGTTGCCAGCCGGTGAGAGTTTAAGCCACAGGATAACTGGAATTCACACACACGCCCACACGGCAACGCCGCAGGTGCCTTGTTACTAAGAATTAAAGTCTTTTTGCTCTACTGAAGGTAATCTGATTAATTTTTGGATCGGGTGGTGTATATTCGTCTATTAACCTCAGCGGGTTGAATTCCTGCCCATGGTTCACATCAGTGGCGAGCGATATTCCGACGTGATCCTGGGGTTCCCTGTTTACCAGTCGGCACTGACCAGCGTGGCGAAGTATGGTCAAACAAACACTACGAATGACACTGCACAGAAAGGCCGTCATCCGACCGTGGATTGATATTAGCTGCAAATTATCACCTAATTTTAAATGAATTCTTTCATTTATACTTAAACCTGGCGAGCCTCTTACCAATCGCTGTCTCTCGCCACACTGCAGGTCACCTCACTTCTGTTTCTGCTCCTTTTACCACGCTGCTCCACTCTGGAGTCCTCTCCTATAGTCTATTTTGCCAAATTCTTAACACAATAAAAAAATATTTGCTCAACTCAATAATTGTATAACCATTGGAACCTCATTTGCCAGTAAAAAATATGATAATTGGTTTTTTTACCCTTCTATCTGGCAACAAAACTGAAAAAAAGAGATGTCAGTTTTGTTGCCAGATAGAAGGGTAAAAAAACAATTATCACAATTGTATAACCGTCTATTTAGTGATACTGCTGCTGCGTTGATGGTGGTGTACAAGCACGAAATAACGACGACAACAAAAATGTCCAACGTGTTTGACGTTTCGGGCAATGGCCCTTTCATCGCGTGCGCCTCCTGCCATGTAATTTTCCTCCTGAGGCGGTGTTATTGACAGACGTGTTGGGTTTCTTTTTTTATCACGGTAACTTTGCTCAATTCAAGAAATGTGTTCACACTTCTGCTGGTACCAACTACAGTGGTGCTGTTTGTTGCTGCGCCCTTGGCGTTTTGGGCCGTTCGGCCTGTGCTCAGCAACCGTGGTTTTACAAGAAAATATACAGTGCCAAAGGTACCTTTCTTGCCAGTATAAAAATATAAATATAACAATATATTTGCATGTTGACCACAAGTAGGAGTGGCGAATGCAGACAGGATGTCTTGCAAAAGGTTTTTGTTTGGTATTTTAACATCTTAACACCTGTTTTATTGCCAGAAAGGGTAAAACCTATTTTTATGGTGCCAAAGGTATTAGTTTCCTCTGTTTTTGCATTTTGTCTGCTTGGTAAAGGAACAAGGTGAATTTTGGTTGTGTGGAAACAGGTTTCTTTCCAGTAAAAATAGGCAGGCATAACCGGACATTTAGTTTCCTTGGCAACCGTAATGGTTGACTTCAGGTTGAACGTTTGTTTGCACAGCCAGGTTGTGAAACGAGGCCCTAAGATTAGGCTTTACCTGATGAAAACAGGAATGTGTCTGTTCTACATAAATTTCGCCTCATTTGCGTTGACTAAAGTACGCAAGTCTAATAAATACGGAGCACACAAATGCTTTTGGAAGACCACGTGACACCGAGTTTAATTTCCAGCCAGGCCCAACGTCAGTGGCGAGAAATGTCTGAACCGGCCCTGTGTTGTGCCCACCCCTTCACCAATCCGCGCTGACCAGCGTGGTCAAGTATGGTCAAAGAAACCCTCTACATGGCAGGGGCTCTGTCCCATTAGCAGCAGCCGCACTGGCACCCCCCCCCCCCCTCTCAGCCAGTCTACATAACAAAGGCTCAGTCCTTTTTTTATGTAGAGTAGCCGTAGCTTCAGCCGCACCAACTTTACCATAATAATAAAAAAAATCTCCTATCCAGGGGCCTACCTTGGCTCCTCCCCCCTCAACTAGTATATATACGGGGTCGGATCTCTTGGAATTTCTCATTTACTTGATACAGCAAGCGTGCTGTGACGGTTCCACCTGAAGACGGAAGCTTGTGTTGCCTCCAAAACGTCGTGATTTTTATTTCATTTTTATTTTACTTTTATTAATTTTAATTTTTTACCTACGTGACTTTACCGAAAAAACCCAAGAATATGAATCCTTGCAGTCACGAAAGCTTCAAATCTAGAAAGCCTTGAAAGCCACGTGGCACAGCGAGGCCCTCTTCAGTGGAATGTCCTCGTGTACAATGGGGCTTCTCTGGGCACTTCAAAATCCTTGGCACATGAGGCCAAACGCCCATTCACGGAATTGGCCAAACATCCCCAAAAGACTCTGTGAGGCCTTCCTGGTTAACGACGTGATTGTCATCGGCATCATCATCATTTGGCTTTGTCTATCCACTGCTGGACACGTAGGCTTTTCGCGACAAATATTATTCATGATAAAGTTTTTTGTTGGGTTAGATGGCGTAAATATAAACGTGTCGTTAACCCACAGCACCCGGCACAGCCAATTAATAAGGTTTGTCACGGATACAAAACCTGCCAGTTAGTTACTGCCATTTGGTCGTGAAAGATGATGTAAAAATGTACTTTTATGAATTGTGAATGTAGGTAATGGTAGTAATTGTTATTGTTAGTATGCACTAACGGACGTTTCATTTTGTTGTTGTTGTTTTTCATGTCATGTGATGAGTGCAGAAATTAAAATCGTGGCTGTCCAGAGAAAAGGTAATTGCACTCAGCGCAAGGCAATTACCCGTTTATACTTTTCAATTACAGTAATATGAATCCTTCATCATTGTCATCAGACATGATCAGTCCACTGCTGGATGAAGCCCTCCCCAAGGCCTTCGCCATTTGAGGGCACCATGGTGGCTTGATGTTAACTACCTCGTCTGGTATACAGGAGGTCGTGGGTCCGATCCCGATGCTCATGCCTGCATATTAGGAGTTTGCATGCTCTCATGGTCACGGGGTATTTTCTTCGGCTCCGCTAGTTTTTCCCTCCACATTTAGAATCAACATGCGTTTAGGGTTTTTGGCTGATGTAAATGCCCACATGTAAAAGCCACTTAATTGGGCTATCATTTGTGGCCACGTCGCTTCTGATTAAAGAGCTGTATAGCCCAGTGGACCTTAAAATTGTTGAGTTTCGTTAACATTTAGCCTTTGAATAATAAAAGCATCTCCAGTGTCTGTGCATCGCAACCCGCATAGTATAGACAAAGAATGCACAGGCAGAGATGGTGAACCACAGTGTAGTCGAAACTCTCATAGTAACTGGCTGCTGCAAATACACTGCTCTGGTGCAGAAGGGTGCATAGGCTGACGGAATCTAAACGTTTTTAGTCACGGTCACAACAACCCCCCCCCCCCCCCCCCCCATAAGTTTATCATACTATTTATTTTTCCGCCCATGCAAAATATTTTTTGTAAAAAAAAAAATAACAGTTGCTAAGCGCAAGTCCTAAAAAGGTCCACAACGCCAAGCGGCCAGCGACAAACGGCACTCGTGAAATGGGTGCCTAAAAAAGCCATGGTTGACTGGAACACCAAGACGTTCTTGGTGTGTGTCTTTATGTGTCTCTCTCTGCGTGTGTGTCTGCCTATGTTTTTGCCGTGTCTGCGTTTTATCTTTGTGTGTGTGTCTCTCTCTGCATGCTGTTTGTTTATGTTATTTCCGTGTCTGTGTTTCCTTTGTATGTGTCACGCTCGGTGTATCTTTGTGTGTGTCTTTCTCTGCCTGTGTTGTTTCCGTGTCTGTATTTTATCATTCATTCTTACCTGATTATGGTTGCTTGTATTGCAACCGAAACGTCATATTCTATTATTTTATTAGATTTTCTACGAAACTTTACCCAAAGAACCAAAGAGTAATTCCTGCAGTCACGAAAGCTCCCAACCCTGTTGTCGTTGTTGTCGCATTGCTTTGTTCGTGTTTTATTTTTGCTGGAGTAGTAACCAGGTTGCTATGGTGTCACCAGGTCCCCGTTAAAATGTATCACTTATTGCCCAGTGGGTTTTACCTGCGCCACGAAAATGTAACCTCACCTAATGAACAACCTATTCTTAGCCGTGACCGGGTATTGAACTCAGGGCTCAGCGTTACTGGCCCATTAACCAGGTGCTCGTCAACTAAGGTGGTAAGTGGAGGCTTGTCAGCGGGTATCATATATTAACACATTCCTGCGGAGGGAGCTGGTAGGAACGTTGGGTTGCTCGGTCAATGGCCAGGGTCAACGGCGGCGTGGTGTATTCCGCAAATATGCCCGACTGTGAGGGCGGGCACAAGCCGGCGTGAGTAGGTTAAACGTTGAGTTTTATAAGGGCACCACGGGGTGACCAGCCCCTCCCCCCCCAGCCCCACCCCCTCCCAACGACAGCTTGAGAGGTGTTTAGCTTTCGTGACTGCAGGAATCCATACTCGTTGGGTCTTTCGGTAAAGTCACGTAGGTAGAAATATAATTAATAGATCACGACGTGTCGGACGGACGCTTGTGTTGCGTCCGAAACGTCGTGATCTATTATTTTGCTACCGACGTGACTTTACCGAAAGACCCAGAGAGTATATGTGTTTAACTGTATGTGTGTGTGTGCTGGGTCTCGTATCTGGATAGCTGAGGGAGGGGGGGTTATCTCTCTGTGTGCATGTGCCGGTTCTCATGGCAGAAATCGAGAATAACTCTCCAGAGGAAAAGAAGCCGTATTTCAAGTGCGGCCTCCCAGAACCGTGCCCCGACAAGCACCTGCCCTTCCGAGTGCTCACGGGCGCGGCCAACATCGTCGGACCAAAGATCTGCCTGGACGATCAAATGTGAGGGGGTTGGCCCCGTGGCTCAGAGGGCCCCCTCGTACCATGTCAGAGAGCGCGCACGTGTCACTCGTCACGTGTCACTCGGCACGTGTCACGTGTCCCTCGTCACTCGTCACGTCACATGTCACTCGTCACTCGTCACGTGTCACTCGTCACGTGTCACGTGCCGCACCACCCACACAACCCTCCTCCTCCCCTTCCTCCTGTCCAGTCTGCAGACCTCACCGCACCAAAAGCCACCATTGGCATGCTTCAGTTACCGTATTGTGCTGAAGCACTTTGGGACCTGCTTGAGTGTCCGAAGATTCACTCCTGCGCTGATTTTTTAAATTTTATTGTTTGGGGTGAAGTTCTCGCCAAGCCATCGCCATCTCTCTCAGTCTCACGATGCAACAATCCATCAATGCATGGATGTATGTTGAACTTCTTTTGCACCCCACATAGCCCACCGTGCTAATCAGAGGTGTGGGGGAAGAACAACAAACTAAACACGAAAATTAATTCTAAAGAAATTATTTTTCAATCTCGATTTAAAAGTGCATAGCTCGAGTGGCTTCCTAATATCGGAAGGAAGAGCGTTCCAGACGGCCGCAGAAATGCACGAGCAAATCTCATCGCTCCACCATCGCTCATCCATTTCTGCTGAGGTTGTCCTCTCACGGCTGTGTTCCTCCCTTTCCGTGTCTGATGTTCAACTTCCGCTTTTAATTTGTTCAATTGACGGCCTCCCCAAACTGTTGCAATTTGCCCCGGCATTGCGTTTAGCTCCCGTGCATGAGCTGATTTCATCTCTCTGTCTCCGTGGTGAATTTCATTTTGGGCGCCACGGTGGCAAGATGTTAACTACCTCGCCTGGTATAGAGGAGGTCGTAGGTTCGATCCGGACCCTGAGACTTGTATATTTGGAGTGTGCATGTTCTCCCCGTGGTCGCGTGGACTTTTATCCGGGTCCTCCACATTTTCCCTCCACGTTTAGAAGCATGCGTTTGTGAAAAAGAGCTATTTCGCTGAGTGGGCCTTATAGGCAACCTGCAACTCATCGGTGGTGCTGAAGCGGTAATACCTTGGCATTTTTGTTCACCCGTGTCGGGTGGAGGGAGGGTGTACGACACAAAATTTTATAAGAAATCACTTATAAATCATGATATTGGTCGCGAAAGCCCACGTGTTGAATTTGTTTTATATTTACATGGGAAGCCGAGTACCCGGACGAAAGCCGTACATACGAGGGGGATGACACGGGCGGTGGGGGGGTGTAACGCTCAAAGGTTTGAACGACTGCCTCACGGATCCACTTGCTGTACTGCCCTCTGCTGGCCAACTTACTTCCCAGCGGGTGTGCTTCACAAATCTGTGCATGATCCACCAACCTTGCCTCCAATGCCTTGGATGGCAGGCCTGCATATCCAGCACGCCAGGATAACTAAATCAACGTGCAAATGAAAAATGGGCAAAGAAGCGTGGGGAGATGGGAATGCGCACACTCGTAATGAACGATGAGCAACTGAAAAAGAGGAAAACACGGACGAGGGAACAAACGCAGGTGAAAGAGGAGACATCATTCTGACTTTTAAGAAAAGCTGGCTCGGGGCAGGTGACGTTGCGAGAAGGGATGCTGGCCGATGGTCAAGGATAACGACGGTGCCGTAGACGCTGAGAAATGGAACGCGCCCGAGAGAATCCGCCATGCCGGAGATGGAGCGATGAAATCAGCTCCTGTACGTGTACTAGATCAGGGAGTCGGCAGACGCGCTACGTGCATTGCGGCTCTTGAAATATCGAGTTTATTACGGAACTCGAAAAAAAATGGCTCTTGTTATTTTGGTTGCCCCAGCCCTGCACTAGATGGATTGTTGTTGTATCGTGGAGGGATCTTGAATGATGGGGGAAAGTGCCGGATTATCCTTGTAGCAAAAGTAACATATGTTACGGGCCCCGCACTTTCAAGGGCCCCTCGTTAAATTATTTCAAGCAGTCAATTCTGGTTCAGTGATTCAGCACTTGCTCTATTACTATAGTACTATACTGCCTTCAACTTTTACGAACGACTGGGTGTTTAAGGTTAGCGATTTGTCGTATTATCTGGCTGTATAGCAAATGAAAGAATACAATTACTTTACTGTGCAAGTTAAAAATGTATTTTTTCATATTAATGTTTGTTTTATTTAGGGCCCCTTTATAACAAATACTACAGGCCCCGCACTAGCTTAATCCGGCTCTGGGTACAGATTGGGGAGGCCTTCATCCATTCGTGGATTGATCATGGCTGATGAGTAATAGTTTAAGGGACTTACCGGTTACTGCAATAAATATTTGCTCTACTGCTGCTGCTGATTGCTGTTTGCTACTGAATGCCGTCGCAGAATAATGAGCAGCGCCAGAAACAACGTTGGACGGGGATTCAACATCGTCAGTGTGGACGGTGAGTTTACTTCCATGTTGTCGTCTGTCTTGGTATATCAAAGTGCGAACCGGTCCCGGGCCTCCCCGAGGTCGACTCGGCCTCAAACGAGTGCCCGGTGCGGTGTGTAAACATCGCCACCAAGGGAGATAGAGGCGGCCGTGGGCCGTGCCGGCCTTCGTAGGTGCTTGCTAACAGCACTTGCCCCAACAGTCTGTTAAGTCTTTGAATTTGGGTGGAACGTTCCTAGTGGTTAGCACACACAGTTCTTGGCAACCACGATGGTAGCAGCTGGGAGAAGCTCCACGTGAACTCTCATGGACATTTTGAGAATTATTTTCAGAATAAAGAAAAAATGTGGTTTTGCCTTTTAATAATTTGTACACGAGTGGGTTTAAGGAACTAAGGCATGCAGATTCTCAGCTTAAATTGATCACAGATCAGTCCATTAAGTCAGTCGGTCGACTAAAACGACTTTGTTGTCGCCGATTAATCGGCTTCCTTTAAAAACGGTGGCAGTCGACGCATCCTGCCTTCCGAAGGCAGGAAACCCCCCTACAAGCCACGCCCCACAGTGACGCGGATAATTAGCATGCCGATGACATCACCGAAAGGCCCCCGCCCATCAACCTCTCATCCACAGGTAATGGGCAGGGTGAAGCTTTTTTAATCTTTTCCCCAACCGCGTGTGTTACTTGATGAGCTGAGCAATCGAAGCGATAATCGGAAAGAGTTATCGGTTACTTGTGTAATTGACGAGCCCGGGTTTTGCTGTGTGTGTGTGTGCATTCTCCTCCGATTCGTGTGGATTCTCAGGAGCGAAGGGAAATGTTTTGGAAGTTCACACATCGGATGTGTACAATGGAGGTAAGAGAGTTCCCTTGGATGTCTCCTCTTCTTTACTCCTCTGCCCAACTCAAACTCCAACGCGAGCACTGTGTAGGTTTTCACGGTTGTGCACGAAGGTCCTTGTGAGGAGTGGTGGCGCAGCGGTTAGCGCGCTGCGCCACGAACCCAGCGATGTGGGTTCGATTTCCCGCTCACGGCCAACACCGGTGACTGTCTGAACCAGTTCTGGGCCTCTCCTAGCTCGACTCAGCCTCAAATGAGTACTTGGTGCAATGTGTAAACATCGTCAATGGGGAGACAAAGGCGGCCGGGCGTGGTGGTGACCACCCACCCCTTTGTGCGCTGTGCCAGCCTTCATAGGTGCTACTCGCTTACAGCACTTGCTCCAACAGTCTGTTACAGGCTATATGGGAGGTCTTTGTTTGTGGTACGGCCCTCCATTGCGTTTGTCTCGTTGTCACCGCGTGCTGTGTGGAGCGATGTCCGACGTTTCCCTGCACGTGCTGGGAGCTTCTTCAGGAGCAATTAGATCACGACGTTTTGCTCGAGACTACATCGAGCATCATCAGGGCAAGATCCAGGACGTCACATTTAACAGATCCAGGACGCTGAGACTGTTGGGCAGATCTTAAGGTGGCTCATCCCATGCAATGCTTTATTCCTTATACAAATGGATGTGTTTGTTTATTCCTAGAAATCGATAAACTCATCGCATTCCTGAAGACCATAAAGGACGGCTCGATCGTAATCATCGCCTCGTTCGACGACGCGTCCACGCAGTGAGTCTCGCTGCGTTTCATCGCAACAGCAGCAGCAGCGCTAAACTGCTTCACGTCACTGCGCCTCTTTTTCATCGGATGCAGATGTTTTTTCCGTTCGTTCCTCATCGCGTGCGCCGCACGCAGTAAGTCCTCGTTGAACGCGGTAGCTGCCTTCCTGAAAAAGTGCCGCGTTAAGTGAAAACAATTTCACCATAAGCAATGTAATGATAAAGTGTTTGGTGCGATACGGTGTACGCGCACACACAGTGAGATGGCGGGACAAGTAACTCGGGGTTAGCCGCCACGTTGCCGTATCATTCCGCGTACCGTGTCGCACCGCTCAGCCGCTGCAGCTCAAGAAAGTAGTTGGCGTCATGCGCAATGTGTTCCCTCCTCGTGTAAGAACCGTGTGGATAGCAAAAACGCGTCAGCGGTGGACTTGCCGCACACGGATACGCTTGTATGGGAGTGTATGTTGCGTTACATTGTCGGCAGAGGGCAGTGCGGACAACGATCCATTGTTGGACCCCCCCCCCACCCCAACGACTTTGCTTGCACATTTAAAATGTTGCCACCTGTGACCCACAACGGGCCTCGTGGTCAGAATGTGACCGCGACGTAGAAGTATGTAACCTACCGTTCGTAACCGCAGCGCGACGTCCGCTGCCTCTGTCGGAAACGCCGTGGCACAGGGACAGGAACATGTGTGGGGTCCTGAGCAGTGGCGAGTACGGTGTGGTATTGGGTTATGGTGGGTACTGGTTACAATGGTATCGGTATGATGGTGCCGGGTATGGTGGCACTGGGTATGGTGCTATTGGGTATGGTGGTACCTGGTATTGTGGTACCAGTGTGGTGGTTCCCTTCACATGCCAGTACGCCTCGATCACCGTGTGCCTCTACGAAGACGGCGTCGTGTGCTCACGACATCGGGCGGTGACGGGCACGACCATTGACCGGTTCGCTGTGCTGCCGCGTAACCGACTTCGGTACAAAACATCCCAACGCTGGAAATTACTTCCAAAGAAATCGCTCGATTGAGATCGCACGTGGCTGGCAACAAACAACATCCATCACCCTCGACCGCAAAAAGATGACACACGACCTTGCTGAAAAGGTGTCTCGCGACTCCGTAATGCTTTCTTGGGAGGCGCGCTTAATCACCTCTTTGTTTTTCTTGTCCGCTCTGCAGCTTGAACGACGAGGCTCGGGGTCTGCTCGCGGACCTCGGAAGCAAGTTCATCAAGGACCTGGGCATGCGCGACAACTGGGTGTTTGTTGGAGGCAAGGGGCTGAACCTCAAAACGTCCTACGAACGGGTAAGGGTTGACCCCTGTCGAAGCGCACTTACCGGTGAAACGCCGCACGACTCGCATTGTAAATGTTGTGGGTTTACTCTCGAACACACAACCGGTGTGCTGAACTAGTAACGAATTGGAATGTTCTGTTTATGTGAATAAACCTTACTAATTGGCTGTGTCCGGTGGTGGCGGGTTTGTCGACACATTTATATCATGGGACCTCTTTTGCCGGTATTAAAGTATGAAACATAAGAACAGGCAAAACAACAGGAGGTGTTAAGATGTTCAAACACCAAATAGAAACATTTTGCAAGGAATCAAGTCTGCATTAACCACATGTCCTTGTGGTGAACATGCAAACAAACATGCTCTGATAATTTCAGCATTTTCTTTGAAACTGATTGGCCTACACCAGACACTATTGATGTACTCTGGTCCTGACACTGGTGAGACCAGGACACAATTATATTCACGCGATCGAACTAAAAAAACCTCCATTATGAATAATATTTGTCGCGAAAGCCCACTATGTGTTTATCTGCACACGCTCTCTCAAGCCGATGGTCGTTCGTGGCTCCAGATTGAGTGGGCAACCGTGCAGGTGAATTTATTGAGAAATTTTAACGCTGGCAGTGACTTTTCTTACATAGACCTACAACAGTGATATGTGAAGCCTCACTTGTCGACTAACAGAGGCCCGCTCACAACTCACTCACGGCTCTGCAAACTGTTCATCTGCAAAGATAAAAATTATGAAGCACAAAAAATATATTCATATGAAGGCGGCGTTGAGTGTGCAGTCATTGGTATGGCTTCCAAATGTTTGCACGGCTCAACCAGGACACATTGGGAGCTGCAGCCCCCCTCCCTCTATTAGCCCTGCCCACTTTCACACAGCCACTCCCACTCAACCACTATCCCCGACCACTACTCAGATAATCCCCCCCACTACTCAGAATGCCCCGCCCACTACTCTGCTGGACATCTGTGACTACCGTAAATGAGCTTCATAGCTCGTCGGATTCTTCCAGTCTAAATAAAGACTCGGATTGTGATTCTACTCAGACGGCCTTTGCTCGCATCACGAGTCGAGTGCGAGGCCACAACATCTAAAACCAGCAACAAAAGTCCACATTTCACAACGCCTTCATGGCAGACACAGTGACAGCCTTTCTGAAACCACCTGGACTATCCCAGCCAAACCGGAGTGTTTGGGTTGTTGGTTCATTAGTGACCTGGCTGAGACCATTGGTATTTTTGCACACAGCGTTGGTGTACAGTGCTTTTTCTGCAATATTTTGCTGTCTTTTCTTGGATTTTATGTTTGCACATAGTCACATTAAGATGTTTTCTTGTTCATGTTTTTGTTTTTTGTTTGTTGCGGTTGCACCCGATTCAAGAGCCGAATGGCTCACAGGGCTATACCTAATACATGAAAACTGAAAAAACTATTAGCTCACGACTCTTGATGTCCGTCAGGACGTGTCGGGCGGACTGGCGACCTCTGTATTGCAAGACGTTGCTGTGACATCATAGGGAATGACATCAGTTATAATTTCGGTTCGATATGAAACACATTTTTGGATCCTCTGTTGGTTCGTATCTAGGTCAAATTTTTGGTCTTTTCTGATTAAATCTGAAAATTGTGAACAGATCCCCTGCACGTGCTGGGGGAGGAGGCTGTCACGTGGCTCTGTGGCTACGTGGGCTGACGTCCACTCGCACGTACATGACATTGACAAACGCATTTTTGTTCTCGCATATCTGGCGCTCTGAACGATGTGGCAGTCACGTGCAAAAGCATTCGCGAAAGAAAGCAACCTCTTGACATCGAGAAGGGCGATGACCGTTAGCGACCGAGAGAGGGCGACAGTGGCTTGAGCGAGTGCGGTTGTGTGGATTGCAAACGAAGCCACGCAAATAAATTCACCGCCCCAACATTCGATGAATTCTCTCTCACTATTTGGGGTCGCGATTCGGTGCAAGAATATATTTTTTTTCCCCCCACCATCGTTTTGACTCTCTCGTTTGTATTGGCTATCATTTGCGTGGTTTTGGTTTCCACCATGTGCGCCTTAATGCAACATGAGCTTACCGTTTGGATTTAATTTGCATACATCGTAAATGTGCATCCATAAGCTCACGATTTGATGTCACAGCAAAAAGGATACATTTTTTAAATCGACGAATCGACGCGTCACCATGCCTATTAGGGCAGTGTCTCTGCTATGAAGTAGGACCATTACCTGAAACGTCGCCTATATATGTTTGTTCTCTTTAGGACAGTGTTGTTGATGCATGTGTTTAGTTGTGGCCCACTCACTACCTGTGCAGTATAAACAAAGTTTATTGTAGTTCGTGCGATCGGTACAGGGACTCCTCTCCTTACGAACGAGTTAGGTTCCAGAGGTCTGTTCGTAACTCCTGTCGATTGCAAACACGTTGTACGGCATGTACACGAAACATGGGGAATGGCTTTAAAAGATGTAGACGCCACTGCTTCTTCACGTTCTACTGATGTAGATGCCACCACCGGCATCGATTGCGCCGCGGTTTAACTTGCGACTCTCGGTCCAAACAGGCAACTGGACATACGGACAGGTTTGTTCGTAGCTCTGAAAGTTCGTAAGTCGCATGTTCGTAAGTAGAGAGGAGTCCCTGTATGCATGTGGCCACCATTTCCATGTAATATCCCACTGTAGTTGAAATTTCGATCATCAGGCGGTGCTCAGAGTAAGAGTGACAGAATAAAGGTACGGCCCCGAAATGTCTTTCTCGAGCCACTGCTGGCAGAAGTGCCTCCACTCGAGGGAGCTCTCGAGGGCAATTGATCTACTCTTCCGCGCTGGCCAGTTGTGTTGGAAGAGGCGATTGGAGTACCCACGCTTCATCCCACTGCACGCACCCTTCTAATGGCCATCCCACTGTGGTGTAACACGGTTTATACCGCTCGGTTGACAGAAGCAGCCGGGGATATTTTTCTTTTTTACTTGCACATTGCTTCAACTGCCGCACCGGGAGATGGAATCGAACTGGCGACCTCTGCATTGCAAGGCCTTGCCATGACATCATGGAAGTGACGTCCCTTCCTGTGATGTCAAAATTTCGGGGTCGATCTTCAAACATTGTTATTGGATCCTCTGCGAGGTCGTGTCTCCAGGGCCAATGTTTGGTCTTTTCTGAATAACCAGATGAGTCTGTTCACCGTTGTTGTTGTTGTCTTGTCACCCTGGCAGCACATCAAGAGCAACAAGGATACAAACAAGTACGAGGGCTGGCCTGAGCTGCTGGAACTTGAAGGCTGCATCCCTCTGAAGTTGGATTAAGGCTCGGCCACGTGTCTGTGCGGGAATCGACGGCAAATGTTGGAAAGCACATCCGTATTTTCAAGCAGAACTCGAAAATGTATTGCTTCAATATTGTTGTATTCTAAAAATGACTTGATGCAACCCAGATTACCCCTTCAAATAAAGGCAATGCATCATGTTTCACAACGGCCCTTTATTAAATCCTTTATATTAAGTTCACTTGCTTGCTTGCTTACGACCGTGCAAATCTTTCGGTCGTTTTTAACCCACTTCCCGTGATCCAATCGAGCTGACATTTTGCACACAGACTCGTTGTGCGTGACAATTTATTTTCGTGAAAAAAAATGTCCAAAATGTTACACTTTTTAGGAAAAAATAAATTATATTTAATTACCAATTGCTTAATGGTGGCAGCCATTCATCTGACCCATAGGTGGCAGCCATCTCAAGCCAGAGGACGAGAGGACTCTAGCCGCCACGCATATAAAGGATTTATAGTGAAAAACTTAGTTTTTACGGGTTAATTTTTTTCGTTTCCTAGTTAAAGAGTACAACTACATATATGTAAGTGCAACTTTTTTTTTTATTAGGCCATTGGCCTCTATAGGCTTTCCAGACCAACAGCGTTTGCTAAGCAAACTCTGACATGGTTTCGAGCTTTCTGGTCATCATCAGTAGGGCAGGGCCTATTTCAAACAAAATTTACAGCGTTGCTTTTGCATGCTATCCACTTTTGGAGCTTCGGGTTGTGTGAATTTTCGTTGATGGGCTTCCCAATGAACCGCGTTATATGCTTGGCATGGCAATTTCCCCCCCCCCCCCCTTTTATTCAGCAATAAGGCTTGTTAAATAAATGCTGCGGAGTTGGAAGATTCCACAGGGAAGAGGCACGGTTCAATATTAAACGCAATGTTGTATACAAAGTTGATTGAAGTTCTGCTTCTTAATAAAAACTTTAAAAAACTATTATTTGCCAGGTAAGGCCGCCACTGAGCTATGTAGCTCTTTATCAGAAGCGACTTGTCCACAAATGATAGCTCAACGAAGTGGCTTATCGTGTGGAAATTTCTATCAGCCAAATACTCGCAAACGTATGTTTCTGATTGTGGAGGGAAAAACCTGTGAGGACCCCAAGAGAAATGCACGCGACCACGGGGAGAACATGAAAACTCAAAATATACAGGCGTCAGGGTCGGAATCAAACCACCCATCCCCTCCTGCATGCCAGGCGAGGTAGTTAACATCTCGTCACCACGGCGCCCCCATATGCTTTAACATATGCTTTTACCCATAATGTTTCACAACAAGGCATGAGTTTGTATATAAAACATGTGCACTCCAAATAAGACGTTTTAAGTGAGAAAAATAAGCGTGGGTTTTTTTCATTTCAAAGTTAGGTAAATTATTCCACTTAGAAAAATAAATGATTATCCTTTTCCATTTTTTCTTTAAATAATATTGTAAATACGTGTGATGGTGTTCAATGGGATTTAATGCTTTTTAAGGAATATATTTTTAATCCATATGATTACATTTTCGCACACCTTTAAAAAATAAATCAAATGAAATAGTGCTTATCTTAAAGAAACATGTTAATTCGAATACCAGTGGAGCATATTCATCATCTCAGTACTTAATTTCACAGAACAGTATGGAACAGTATGGAATACTGTTCCAGGATTGTGCTAGCACTCCGCCTCACCTTATTTTATCCTCAGAGTATCGTAATATATAATAATATATTTCTTATGGTTAGGCATACTCTTGTATTCTAGTGGTAGTGCCTTACACCTGCTCCAAATCCAGCCCTAGTAGTGTTCCGGAAAGTATCGAGCAATAAACTAGGCCCTGTTTACACTCTTGCTACTGCTGGCAAAGTATTTTAGATCAATACATAGAGTACTTTTTGTCGCGGTGGGTTTGTATGTTTACATTAGAATTTGACCCTTCTGAAATGTTACACGATTGCGTTTATGAGCGGAAAGTGTAAAAGTAAAATTAACAAAAATTGTCCCAAACACAACTCTGTCCTGTATATCTTGTTGGTTTACAAAGTTAAGAAAAGTCCGGCCGCAAAAGTCAGATTTGTTGTGTCCTGTAAATATTAAGGGTTGTACACTTGTACGGTTTCTAAAGACGATTTATGGTGACAGGTGAAGGTATGTGTATGTCTATTGAATAAGTGTCTTAATATTAAACATTTCTGTTCAGGACATGTGAATTTGAGCGTTGATTTTTAGACTGTCGAAATCATGGGTCATAATAATGATTTAGCACAGGGGTCGGGAACCTTTTTGACTGGGAGAGCCATAAAAGCCAAATATTTCTAAATATATTTCATTGAGAGCCATATAGTATTTTTACGTATAATAAATTAAATATGTCTTACTTTTAATGCGACTTCTGGTGCTGCATGGTTTTGCTGATGGCGTTGTAGTCTGGTTCATACGACGTGGTGAGGTTGAGCTTCATGCAGGCGTGACCCGTGAAATTTATTTAAGTATTTTTAAATCAGATCCAAACTGATTTTTTTTCAACTCAAAATTGTCTGGGAGCCATATGCCGTCACTGGAAGAGCCATATATGGCTCGCGAGCCACAGGTTCCCGACCGCTGATTGAGCACATCTGTTATTCGAGACAATCTTACAGCACAAGGATATCACTCGGGCTCTGTGTTTTTCAGACCATTATCGTCTCCCAGTAGTGAGCGATGTTCATATTAGATTCTACCCAATGAAGCAATTTGCGAGCAATTCTTCAAATATGCAATTATTTCAATTGCAACGCTGGGATGTTGAACCTCTTTCGCACCTTACGACATGACATTGTCAACGTCCACTTTGAATCGGGTGGCATATAATTACGGATAATTATCCACAGCATTAACCAGGACGGCCGTGCGTTTCCGAACCACGAACCTTTGCAACAAGCCGCGAATGCGTGTCCGGGTGACCGTGTCGTAGATAATAATCACCTATCGATGACACACGATCTAAAACGCATCGCATAGGCAATTATCCCCCATTGCTGCCAATGGAGGCATAGGCTCGCTTTCGCCAAAAACCAAATTCAAAGGAACTTTGTCTGAGAACCAGTAGTTCAAAGCGAACATTCATAACCACAGGAACTCCAGGCGGAGGGGGCGTCGATATGATAAAGAGAGGGGTTGGTGGCAGCTCTCTCGCAAAAAACACTGTCACGTGTACACGTACACGCACGCTCATCTCAATATGCGGTTCCCCCTTGTGTCCCCCTCGTGTATCCCCTAGTGCCCCCCCCCCCACCCCCTCGTGTTCCCCATGAAGGGCACGTGGGAGGGGGTAGAGAGCCTGTTCCCCCACATTCCCTTTGCTTTCATCACGAGTCAGCTTTCGAATTGGCCTCGTGTTCAACCACGACGGCTGAACTCCAAATGTGTCGCACGCACACTGAAGGGAGTGGTCACATGAGCCCCCGGGGTGCGTGAGTTGGCGTCTCCTTTGAAACGAAACGTACTGAAAGTTGTGAGCATTTTTGAGAAAGATTTTCTCTCTTTCTCGATAAACTTTCCCGAGTTGTATGTGAGCAAGCGTTTGTACGTTCGTTTCAGAGGAGCATTGCAGTTAAAACCGTAATGCTGTCCTTCATATGTCCCCGATAAATTACGGTTAAAGATTGCACAATAGCATAGTATTCTTGAATTTCCCTTGAAGATACAATGGGAGAAACATTTTGACCTACGTAATGTAGGGTCAAAATAGGAGGGCGAATGATTTAAAGGCCCAAAGCCTTACCCAGATTGCTGCGTATAACAACAAATCTGTGTGTGTGTGTGTTAATTACGTTGCATGCCTCCGACTTCATCCTCTCCCCATCGCACCAAAGCCATTTTTAAAAAATCCTTTATATTAAGTTCACTTGCTTGCTTGCTTGCGCGCTTACGACCGTGCAAATCTTTCGGTCGTTTTTTAACCCACTTCCCGTGATCCAATCGAGCTGACATTTTGCACACAGACTCGTTGTGCGTGACAATTTATTTTCGTGAACATTTTTTTCAAAAATTTTACAATTTTTAGGAAAAAATAAATTATATTTAATTACCAATTGCTTAATGGTGGCAGGCAATCATCTGACCCATAGGTGGCAGCCATCTCAAGCCAGAGGACGAGAGGACTCTAGCCGCCACGCATATAAAGGATTTATAGTGAAAAACTTTGTTTTTACGGGTTAATTTTTTTAACAACAAAGGCGTAATGGAGCAGCTCTAAAATTGCTTACTCACTCACGCCACTGCTGCTGGAACGGCCTCCACTGACAGTTGTAGAAATCGCCTCTGGGAGGGTTCTTTTGAGCAGACGTCTTGGAAGAGGTGGGAGTAAACCCACACTTTCATAGGGGCCGTCCATAAATGACGTCACGCGATTTTGGACGATTTTTGAGTGCCCCCCCCCCCTTCGTCACACGGCGTGTGTCAGAACCCCCCCCCCCTCAAATATGACGTCACAAAGCTCTGTCCCCCCCCAAAAAAAAACATGCTTCAAATCGCTTTAAACTATTGTCATTGTCGTGAGTAATTTAATGTGGCGCTGCACTCTGATGTTGTAGGAGAAAACATTTATGAAAAAGTCTATTTAATTAAGTAGAACGTGTTGTCTATATTTATTTAAAGTTGCGCATTTTGATCTGACGTCACATTTCTCACCCCCCCCCCCCCTCGTCACACATCGTCACAAATGTCTGACCCCCCCCCCCTTAGGTGTGTGACGTCATTTATGGATGGCCCCATAGCTGTCAGCCCCTTATCAGTGCCCACCTTATTACAGACCAATCCAGACCTTATTGGTAGGGCTGAACGATCTAATTGCGATTTGTCTGACAGATATTGCGATTGCGATTTCATTTGTGATTAAACATTTTTAAGTCAAGCTTCAGTTCAATATTCACTGTGTAATATATTTAAAACATGTGATGGAGCATTACCACGTGATACCATCAAAATATTAACTGCTCTATATATTCTAATGCAAGGATGAGAACTTAAAAGATATTTATTGCTTCCATATTTATTAAAATGCTTAATTGTAATAGAGCAATCAAACATAGAACAATTGTTAAGTTAAATAAATAAAGTTATAATTATAATAATAAATTAATCATTCCAATAGGAAAGTAATAGGACTTTTCAAATCACAGCCTTTGCGATTTGCTAATCGCATTGTTTTCAAATTGCGATTTAGATTTGAAATCGATTAATCGTTCAGCCCTACTTATTGGTCACCCCGTGCCCCTTATACATCTCAACGTTCATTCTACAATCTTGACTTAAAGCTTTCGTGACTGCAGGAATTCATATTCTTGGGTATTTCGGTAAAGTCACGTAGATAGGTTCAAAGAAAAAAAAATATTGTATGTTCATTCTACAAATTCCCATCAAAAGGGAGAAACACAAACAAATAGACAATGTTTTTGTTGCCCGTATTGAAACGGCTGTGCGCCGTATGGACCTGAAAACTCAATTTTCCTGTACAAGAATACGGGGTAAATCGCATGGGTTGACAGGTATGCAATGTATCCCACAACACTCTGGCGTACGCACTTATAATGCTGGGCGGGTAGAGGTAAGGTGTGGCGGGTGGGGAGGTATTTAAACACATTCCTGCGGAGGGAGCTGGTAGGAACGTTGGGTTGCTCGGTCAATGGCCAGGGTCAAAGGCGGCGTGGTGTGTTCCGCAAATATGCTCGACTGTGAGGGCGGGCACAAGCCGGCGTGAGTAGGTTAAACGTTGAGTTTTATAAGGGCACCACGGGGTGACCAGCCCCCTCCCCACCCAGCTCCACCCCTCCCACCCCCCACCAGCCCCACCATCCCCACCCAGCCCCTCCCCACCCTCCCCTCCCCACCCAGCCCCTCCCCACCCTCCCTCCCACCCAGCCCCTCCCCACCCTCCCCTCTCCACCCTGCCCCACCCCTCCCATTTTGGATGCACGACGGACGGACACAATAATCCCCTGTGGGCTGGTGTAACCAGGAGGCTCCTACCAGTAGAAACTTGCACAATGTATCGAGTGCCGTGCCTGGGTAATCAAATCGAACGCGCGACCTCCGGAAGGAAACAAACAATGACGACCCAACATCGTCGTCAATAAACACTGGATTACACAGTCCAGTGTGCAAAATGGGACATTTTTTGCCAGTATCAAAGTATGATAAAAATGAGAATATATGTTACCCTTTTCTGCATGTTCACCACAAGTACGTGTGGTTAACGCAGACATGATTCCTTGCAACAAAAAATATTTCGCGATTTAACATCTTAACACCATCTGTTTTCATAGCCAGTGTGGCAAACCGTTTATGCCACAGCAGCATGAAAAATGATGCAATTGAGGCACTGTAGTTCGGTTATTTGTGATGCAGCAGAGGTATAGTATTTGGGTGTCTGTTACTTCTCTTGGGCTAATTTTTCCTGGCCTCACGTTGTTCGTGGGTGACAGCTCTTGCACAGCAAAGGACACTCGACAACAGCAGGTCATGCCATGCTTACGAGACGCTGTGTAAACGATGCCTTGTTCAAACAAATATAAAACTGCCACAAAACAATAGAAAGCTAACGTGCAATAAGACCAATGAATGGATGGGTGTCTCACGGATGATATTTACCGTGTCAAAGAATCGAATTAACCAGCACTGCCAAGAACCTGGGTTTGAATCCAGGCTTCAAACTGGAACGAGGCTGCTGGTATTTGCCCAGTCACTAATTTCTGCATATGAACAATCCATAATAATTGTGGTTTTGTCCATAAATTTGGCATAAATCAGAATTCAACATTTTTGTTTGGCACGCGACGTATGATGTTTGCGAAACTTCAGGGTCGTATATTCCTCTCGGTGACAATTTATATATTTATTTATAAAAACACGATTTTTTTTTCATTTACATTTTTTCCCTGTATACGCTTGATGGTTACTGGAACTTAATAAACTGTCAGTTCCGTACATTTCGATTCATTGCTCATCGTGTTTAATCTGGCCACTCCAGTTTCCTCCTCCACATGACACACTCCAAAATTAAATTGATCCAGAATTCCAGGCCGGAACCTTTTAAACAACATATAGCACAATCTTTTTTTTCTGGCCTGAAAGCAAGGCTGATAAATACCTGAGGACAAATACTTATTGGAAATATTTAAGTCATCCCATGTAAATAGATGTGGTGTTACATTAGACATAACAAGACCGGCTTTAGAAAATGCAAGCTGCCCATGTCTCCTTCACGTCAAATGCAAATCGCAATCTCTCAATCGACGCAAATTGTTTTAACGTGGCTTGGTTAAGCCAAATAAAGTTTCCTCTGAGCCAGCA